ATAATAATAATAATAATAATAATAATAATAATCTTTAGCAACATTTAAGATTTAACTTTTACATTTACATTTAGAATTTAACATTTAGATATACAGTAACATTTAACTTTAACATTTAGTTAAAATTTGCAAAATGTAAAAACAGTGAGCTGAATAACAATAAAATGTTAGTGACATTTTTGTAACATTTTATTTTACACTTGGTGCACCATAACTGAATGCCTGCATCTTCATTTAGTCTCAACCATCCTGTGTTTCCAACAAGAAGCTGCTCATAGTATAAAACACACACACATCCACCATCTGTGTCTTTAAGATACATTACAAAAGCCAACTCAGTGGCCTTTACAGAAAACAAATTTAAAAAGCAGTTTTCTGATTATTTCAATACATTTGTAAGTTTCATTTCTTTTAGAAACTTTAGCTGCCAGTTTTAAAGATATAAACATTCAGAATCAGAATGAAACAATATGTTTCTCTGGTAGCTCTCTGGAAATGCACTCCGGTGTCTGTTGTTGGTTCACAGCTCCTCTGAAATGCTGCTGATTTTAATGCAAGTGTTGTCACTCCACCGGGATTATCAAATGCTGCTGACTCCAGATGAGTCATATATAGACAAATGACGTTTGAGGCATTGTAGCTACAAGGACGAGTGCAACAGCACCTCCACGGACGGACCTATAATTGCACACAACACAATTTTGCCCAACACGTCCTGATGCATCTCAGTAATCCAGGTAGAAAAAAATCAGAAAGAAAAAAATAAGTAGGTCCTCTGTATGGGTTCTTCTTTAGTGAAACGTTTCTTCTCTCCTCCAAGAGACTTCTTCAGTCTGATGAGTTTCAGGTGAACCCTCTTTTGCATGTGACTAACCTGTTTGTCCAGGTGGAGGCAGTGCTTATAAGGCTGAGTTCACCTGAAACTCATCAGACTGAAGAAGTCTCTTGGAGGAGAGACGAAACGTTTCACTAAAGAAGAACCCATCCAGAGGACCTACTTATTTTTTCTTTTTGAATTTTGCCCAACCCTCAGAAAGACTTTGATTGATACTTTAAATAATCTTAAATTGTAATCTAAATTGTTTGAAATTCATGTGAAAGTACATAGAAAGATATACAAATAGTATATACAGTACCAAAAATGTGCCTCATAGTCTGCAACCTATCAAAGGCTAAGGTTATAAATAACACCATAAACACTAAATTGACAACTAAATAGAAGAAAACTCACGCTTCTTGTGCTTGCTGCCTTCTTTTAAGTTTCATGAATGCCCGTTTTTTTTGCTGGCTCAGTTGTCTTTCATCACGTTTTGCACCACAAGAGTAATAAAATATTTACATGAACCTGTTCTGTCTGTTATCCTGCAGTAAAGCCTGTTTTCTTACGGAGAGGAGTGAACGTCTCAGCAGAGGAGGCTCGTCAGTCTGAAGTCCAGACCTCAGTGGCAGAAGCTTGATCTCTGTGAACCAGGATTTCAAACACACCAGGAGGAAAACGTATCCTGATGGCGAGGGATGCGTAATGCCAACCATCTCTGCCTGTTCTCTACCACAAAGAAAATTTATTATATTTGTTTAAGAAATACATAGGTGTCTGTGAGACAAGTAAACYGTATGATCTGTTTCAAACCAAGCCCCCCGACAGACTTCAGACAGGTTTCCTCACTGAATTTGCAGCTGTGATGTGAGCAGAAAACTTTAAAAATACATGAGGGAAAAAGACAAGGAACCTTACCTTGTTTGAAATTTGCTCTGTCTGCTCTGTCTCTGCTCTGCTAAGAACAGCTCACAGTCATTTTACCCAATTTGAAGAAACATTAGAAAAACTAAAAGTGCATTCAGCTATGCTGCTTTGAACAAAGTTTAACAGTCACATTAATATTTCATTTTAATGTTCACAATTTTACATTGACCTGTAAATGTAAATAAATGGAACAATTCCTACAAACACTGCCCTGTCGAATTACRTACAATACAGATTGGGTTCTTAMACGACTAAAATTTAAACTTTTGATTGTTTCTGAGKGATTTATTTAAATAAGTCAGACAAAGGTTTTGGTTCAGCCTTTCAATGCTACTTTTGCATACATTTCTTTGGAGTGGTCTTCCTGAACCAGCTCTGTTCAGAGCAGCCTCTCAAGCRTCACGGCTAGACTGAAGTTTCAATGTGAACTCAACCTTCCAGCACTGGTAGTGGGGCTAAAGCAGGGGTGTCAAACTCATTCTCACTGGGGGCCACATGACCGTTATGGTGGCCCTCGAAGGTCCAGTTGTAATTAACTTCAACGTTTCATGTTTAACTTTGACTAAACAAGAAACGTCACGTTCCTCGTCTCATTGCTACGGCTGAGCACCACTAACAAACAACTGAGCTCCATGTGGTATTTCCTGCATAGAAACAGCATTTTAACATTTCCTCTTATAAACACTGAAAAACACTGAAAATCACTACGTGTAAAACTGACTAAATGTAAAATAAATAATAGAATTTTTTTAAAGTAAAAGTAAGAGAGTATTACTCGCTGTTGAGTTGTGCTGAGTAGCTGTCATCATTCTGAACTATCCCATTTTACAACAGGGATTTCCCACTGGAGGGTTGTTCCAGTTTAAATTTACGACTTGTAAGTGGGACATCCCCACTTCCCAGTAGAACTGGGCCGCAACAAAAGCAGCTACATGAAGATTTTACACAGCAAATTTTGACGGCTACTTTTGAACCTTGTGCAGCTCCACYTAGTGGTGAGATGCTGTCATTTTGCAGGTAAACTAATCAACRTGCATCATGGGAGATTTAGTCAGTGTTGGCTTTAAAGCAGCAAATGCTAAGACAATACAGTTTTGAAGCTCTCGTGAGCCACATAAAATGCTGTGGTGGGCCACATTTGGCTCGTGGGCCTTCAGTTTGATGTGGTCTAAAGGRTGGACTGGGACTGCACATTTCAATGAATTCAGTGAGAAAACCTGGAGGTTCTCCATAACACTGAGGGAAACCCTCACTGAGCCAACAACAGAAGACTGTCATCCACACAAAGTTAAATATGCAGCTTTAGTGAAAATGTAGAGTCAATAAATTGTCCGAATAATTCTCCATGATGTAAATGTTTTCATCGCCTATTTATGTGCAATATTTTCTTTCTACTAAAATGTATTTACGTTTCACTGTTCTTGCTACTTTTTCAATCAGATAAGCTTTTTTTATATCAGTGTGCACCCAAAGACCTTAAATTTTTCTTTCCATCATTTCCTAACTGCAGCTTTTTCGTAGTTTCCCAGGTTCCTAAATGTCATGTTTGTTATATAAAWACAGTGTTGTTACAGTTTTCACCACAAACTGTGCTGAAACCGCTGAGGACTGACTCTTGTTCTATAAGTCTGCAGACATTGTCATTACAGGGTTGTTCACAATGTCTTCCAGTGTCACTATTTTTTTCTTCTTCTTTTGATAAATTCAAGTTTTAAATGGTGGGGAAATATATTTCTATTCTGTGTCCATGAGTTTCCCTCCTGGCTGTAGGAAATCCATCGAGCGGACGTTTCAGACATTAGTAACTGTAGTCTGTCAGTTGTGGTGTTGAAGTTGTTGTTTTTTTTTTGTGTGTGCGTGCGTGCGTGCATGCGTGCGTGCGTGCGTGTGTGTCTTTAAATGATCACTTTACATTGTTGGTGAAACCCAGCAGCTTGTGGTTTGGCTGAATGTTGTTTGCACTTAATTTGGAGGACCTAAAGACAGAGGCCAAATAAACACATACAACATTATGCAAATTTCATATTTTTACTCATCAGAGTGAAGTTTCAGCTCACACATGCTGTTATTTATACATTTATTTAAGGTGTGCGTGTCAATAACTTTAGGGTAAAGTGTTTACAGCAGGTCACATCTTAGCTTTTTGAAACTACAGAGTGACTTCATGTGGTTGGTTTTGGTTTTTGTAAGAGAAGACACATCAAGGACTGCAAACTGAAAATCAGATTTCATGACGTGCAGTGGCCAGTTGTAATTCGTTTGCTGTTGTCTATCAAACGAAGACCATAGTGGCAATATTTTGTATAATTTCTTATTCGTTATTTTGTTCTCGTATTTTTTTTTCACCTTTTGCTTGTGTGTTTTCATGTTTTTTTTTCACTTGTATTTATTTTTCTTGTTGTTGTTTACCTGGGAACACGTATATAAATCTATAAATACATACAGTATATAAAAGATATACAAATATATTTTCCATTTGAATTGGAGAGTATTATTTTTATTTGGTTTTATTTTTGCTGCTGGGCAAGAGATGATTGCATGACTGCAATCGTCACGATCTACCATTTTCTTCAGTGTCTATTGAGATGAAACTGCTGTATATTTGTGGTGTGTCGACCACAGCTGTTTCTTTGTATATTCCAAGATAGAAAGATTTGTGGGGTTTATGTTTCATGCAAATCAACAGRGATTCTTCCAACTGTTCAAACCGTGCTGTGTTTGTGTTTTCAAATCGCTGTGTGCCCTCRTCCAATAGGGAGAGTCTGTACCAGAGACATAGCATGATTTCAAAATGAATATGCATATCAAACAGTGTATTTATGTATATCTGTGTGTATTCATCTATTTACATGTGAGGATAAATAGATGGTTGTATGTGCGTGTGTTTCRATTCAGCCAAATTGAAAACAATAATAAAGCAGTTCTATGAATTGTCTATAAAGAGGATGTCCTTTACTCTTTTTTGTTGAAATTGTCTCCTTAGTTGACTCACCTTGGATTTAAACAAGAAATAATTTGTTTAAAAAATATTTTTGAACGTTTGATACAACTTCTTATGACAAGTTGATTGGACAGTTACAGAAAACCATTAATTTACTCATTTTAGTTGTAGGGTTTTCATTTATTTTTAAACATTTCAAGTGAATATTACAGGGATGGGGAACTTACATGATGGAAGGCACCACAATTTTTTGTTGACACTACCAGAGGGCCCATATAACACTGCCCACATACCCAAATGTAATAAAACTGCCATTTTAAAAATGTTTGTGTATAAAAATACATATACATATTTTATGCTCAAATGCATATGTAACAGTTGTACTCTTATTTAATAAATATAAATTTAAAAAAACATTTAACGTAAACAAAAAATATACACTTTAGCAAGCTGAAGTGTAGCGAACATAACACGCCTTGAGTGCAGACTTCTGTGYGGGTGTGGTTCTGGTAAATCTGTTGTTTCTGTGTTTCTGACTTCAACAAACTTCTCATATTTAGCTGGGTGCAGCTTGTTGCAGTGGCAGCTTWTATTAAAATCCATCATGGCAGACAGCGTGTCTTAGGCAGACTAAACCGGTTTGCCTTGAAATTCTGTAAACAGATTGGCCAGATGGAAGTCACCTTTGAGCCAAATGAGGCCCGCAGATTGCCAGTTGCCCATCCCTGATTTTTGCAGCTTGGTTGCACGACTTCTTCAATATGGCGTCGAGTTCAGCTCTTCGGAAGTCACGTGAGAACTGGGCTACAGAATTCCTTGTCATCGTCTCTGCTGCGCATTGTGATTGGTTATTATACTCCAATCACTCGTATAATTGGTTGAATAAGCTGTCTGTCTTTAAGACTTGAATTCCCATTGGCTAAACTGACCGATTCTAAAGTCAAATACTTTTAGCTCGGTGAGCCGAGGGCGGCGTTAGCTAGTCGGTAAATGGAAAGTGTTGCTGATATTTGTAGGAAAAGTGTATGATAAAAATAGTCTTTTGATATGGGAACTCGAGACGATGAATACGACTACTTGTTTAAAGGTGATTTCATTTTTATAAGTGGTTAAATGACAGCGGTGTTTCCCTGGTGGAGCTTAGTGAGAGTAGAATCTGGGGAAGTCAGAAATGCTAAGATTAGCTTTACAGCAAGTGACCAATGCAACTGATTCGTATCGTTAAATAATCATTACATGTTTGTGACCGTCTTTACTTAGTAATTAAATAACGTTACTAATAATTAAATAAGGTTAAGGTACTAAACGTGGCTGTTGGGTTAGTGAGGGCTAGTGACGCTCACAAAACATTTAGCTTTATGTTAACTATTCATTAGTGAACAGTAACTACCTAACACTAGACGAAACATATCAGTCTAGTTGGTGATATAATTTTTACTTCTATATAACTGATTCAACACGTTTGAATATATAATTGAACAGACTGCTCGGCCAAAACAAAAAGATCACAGTGGACCTCCTTTTGGTTTGTTGTGGCATCGATTCTCTAAGCTTCTGCAGTGTCACAACATTTATTTCTGTCTAGTTATGGCAGGCCGTTGTAACATAAAATCGGCTTTACCACACTTGCCTTCCAGTGATCTAAAATCGTCTTATAATTAGACAGTAGTTAATTAAGRTATCCCTGATTATATTCTGACTGAATGATGTCAGGTTTAACATAAAAAGTTGACATCTTAAAGGAATTGAGTCAAAAATACAGTTCTAGATATATCAAGGTAGTTTTGAAGAGTCATTATTGACTTTCTCAGTATTTCACTATTTGTTCTGACTATTCATAATTCCTATGAGTTAATGTAAAGACATTTTCTGAACTTGGTTTAGTGGAATCAGTTGACATGACTTAGTTCAGTAAATTTAACACTTCATATCTTAGAGTGTGTAAAAGTACTTTCCTGATTATTGTGAGCAGTTTTACGAATTTTACTTGTACTTATCAGGGAAATTCAGTTGTATCAAAGTCCTTTTCTGTTTAGGTATTTTTACTTTTACTTATTTGTTTTCATCTACTTTACACACCTCTGGATTCCAGTTTGACATGGAGAGATATTAGTTAGAGTCTTCATGTGAACAATAGTAGCAGGAAAAAGAAGTGAAGTTTTCAGTGAATAATAACCAATAATCAATCACCTGACTGATTGAACGGTTTAAAAATGACGTGCAGTTTGTCTGACACAGCCTGGTTGCCCTCGTCATATGTTTAGTAGGGATGTCCCGATCAGATCCTCAGTATCGGTGGCAGATACGGCCAATTTCTGAAAATCGGGTAGAATCTGAAATACTCGTGATCAGACCGATGCAGTTTTCRTGACAGTTTTCAGCATCATCATGCTTTACAACTGCTGTTAAGAAGTCAAGACACACACAAGTATGTAACATGTCCACAGTGTGGGAACACTTTTCAATGGAAAAYGATGCTGAAACTGCATCTGTCAAAATCTGCAAACTGGATGTTTCTCRTGGTGGGAACAGCAGGGCTCGCTTTAATACTACCAACCTTGTCACTTGGAAAGAAATAAAAACAYAAAGCTATCRGCTCGGTGTTGGAACGATTAATCATTAAAAAATCAGATTTTATCRGGAGCCAAAAAATCTGGATGGGGACATCCCTAATTTTTGGTGCCGTGTGCTTTGGTTCTAGTGGTTCTAATTGGAGACTCAGGTGTGGGGAAGAGTAACCTGCTGTCCCGATTCACAAGAAATGAGTTCAACTTGGAGAGCAAGAGCACCATCGGGGTGGAGTTCGCCACCCGCAGCATCCAGGTGGACGGAAAGACGATCAAAGCTCAGATCTGGGACACAGCGGGACAGGAGCGCTACAGAGCGATCACCTCAGCGTGAGTATTTCTTGTGTAGTTTAAA